GGACGGTTAAATCGACAAGAATTGGTTATCGCGTGTAGCATGCATGGAGAATCGAGAAAGTCAGAACAGATAATATTATATATTGAGAAAGGTCACAATCGATACTTTCCCGTGATGTAATTAGGACCGTTAAATCGACAAGAATTGGTTATCTCGTGTAGCATGCATGGAGAATCGAGAAATACGCACAGAATTTTGGCTGGATGCCTTGCAAAAAGGAAGTACTTAAGGGAATTTAACTCTGGTAGGTCAGACCGAACGTGGTGGCCGAGTTGATACTCCTAATTCGAGTTTTGGAAAGTCCGGTTTCGAATCGTGGCCCGGACACCGGCTGGGCTGTCCTGCCTTGAATTTATGCAAGTTTTTCTGGAACATTCCGTATATGATGTAGCAGATAGTGATGAATTGTGACCTCGATCTATCTGTAGTGTAATAATACAAAAAGTTACAGTACGTCACGTATATACCTGCAATTTAAGTATGGAGCTTGGCTTCGAGCAGGTAATTTTATTTATCTCCTCATACAAGTTACTGCATGTATCATAATGAGTGTCTTGCAATGAACTGGTTCGTTTATTAATATAAACTTGTTACATATCACTGGTTGGCTGTTGTATGAAAGTTGTTTTGACCATCTGATCTGTGAAATTTTAACCCTTTAAAGCTCCAGCAGTCTTCTGGATTCAGATGGCGAATTATTTTGCACCCATGCGACTGTTAGTTTCTGGACTTAGGTATAGAAAACCTCTTTAGGAAATTTAGAAGTCAGCTGAACCTGTACGCTGATTAAACTGCATGAATCAGTATTACAGACAATTATTGAACCAGTTTCGTCACAAGCAATCCTTAAGAACTTGTCAGATGTGAACATGGCGACAGCCCGAAATGTTTTCTACGATGATGGTAACTTATGAAATATCCATAGCTTTTATTATCAGGGATGATTCCTGATGATGAGGACCGAGACGAATGTCGAAACGTCGGTTTCTTACGGCTACTTTACGCTGCTGATTGCCTATGAAGATTTCATTGAACTGATGAATCATTTATGAACCCACGTACTATTAAACTAACAAGTTCTAGAACTCCCCGTCTTCAAAATTCACCACTGTAACTGAGAGCAGGTTAATTTTAACACTCAGACGTTATTTATAATGTTAGATAATGAAATGAAATTTCTGTTACTCCGGATTCAAAAATCCTTCTGAGTAAACTAATTCCGTGGAACGTGGTCTTCCTAGAAAAAAATTATAATTACTTAAAACTGATAAATTCTCCCTCTGCCCTCTTGTTACGGGGTTTCTTAGGTCATCTCGACTCCTTGTTCTCAAACACTCATCTTATAGGGCCCACTTAAAGTGGACAGACAGTTTGTGCACCAAGTTTGAAACACTTTACGCCTGCTTTGATTATAGCGTTTCAAATTACGAACTATTCGCTTTATGCTAGTAGCTGTATTGTGGTTCTGGAATTGAGGTCTTGGTTTCAACGCTGCAATGATAATTTTTGCCCTTCCTTCGTGCTTGGTCTCGCTTTCGCAATTGTTCACTTTCCTTGTAGACACCCTTTTCGCTGAAACCGCAAATTAATTCAATTGCAACAGAGCGATTAGTAAGGGTAATATTGTGCCGTGGTAATCAAGCTTCGTCCTTGTTCACGTTTTGGTTTATTTATTTATAAGTGATTTAACGAGTCTCCTGTACCATTCTGTTGTGGTTTGTTCAAGTACATATAAATCTTACCATCTCGCATGACAAACTTATTAAAATATTAACAGTGCATTTATTCTATACAATTAATCCACGTATTACATAATCATGTTTCGGTCGCTTGTGGCCATCTTCAGGCTAACGCAAAACGTAATTTATAACCACGGTAATTGTGATCTGCATAACGTTATTGTATGTGTACTAATTACCACAGGATCCTTTAGGCCGAAACGAGTAGTTTATATACAACTAAGTAATTTAATACATTTGTTGCAATAATTTAAATTATCTTAGAACTTAGTTATTTCCGGCGTCAAAACGCAGAATAGCTAAAACGTTAGGATGATTAATGAATAATGAATTGGACAGGATATGTAAGGTAGCGGTCATTGTCTAATTTAAGGTATGTCGCATCATTTGCCTGGTGGGACTGAGGAAAATCACGAGAAACCTAACTCATAACTGCCGGTCTCGGGACCGAGATTTGAACCTCGGACCTCCAGATTACGAACGTGGGCTTCAGCCCTCTGTTTTATCAAAATTTTAACGACTTTTTTCCCATATCGGATATTCAGAGAGCAGTTTCCGCCAGTAAAATAGCCTACCCGTCGTGCAGTAGTGCTCGATGTGTTGCCTGGCTGTCAGGTCTCCCTCCTGTGATCTGACGAGCGATATTAATTAGAGAAGTCTGTTGTTGTCTTTGGTCTCATATCTAGACAATCAAAAACGTGAATTTACGATTTGGTGACCTACACTTCTGCTGTTCATGAGCTTTAGAAGATAATTGTTCTGAAAAATCAGTAGCAAAAATCTGGCTTCGGTCACTGTGAAGACGTCTTTGTAGTTTATTTACTTTGTAAAGGGATAAGATATTAGCCAACTAATTCACTTGTAGAAATAACGTAGGAAGCGTGCGATATAAATCCGCATTTCAGCGTTACGATGGATCGTGTGTCTTCGCATATTTCATTGGGTGAAGTTGTTTAAGCGATCTGACTCACATAATTTTGCCTCAAAGCATCTCAGCAGGATAAAATGTCTCTGAGAATCGTGTATTGCCTCTGACAACGTCTGTCAACTGGAATCTACCGGCAACTCACTCGATGATTCAGTGGAATGAAAATGGCGAAGCTCGAATTGGCCGACAAGGCAGTCGACCGCCGGCTTGCACGTTGACATGCGAACGAAGTGTTCCCCTCTTGCTTGAGAACCAGACTTTTCGATGCGCTGTTTTTGTCTATCGTTCGACCAGCTGTGTAACCACCAACTTCTCAAGAATATTTCTTAGTTCTGTTGGTAGTGTACGAAGAATTGTATTCATAGATACAGTCATGGGTAAGGAATTCTATGCTTATTACCCTAATTACCCTCTCCTCAATTACAACCAGATACGCGACGTATGTAGTTTCATATCTTAAAAACATGCTATTGACATTTTCCGAAATTCGTAAAAATTCAAAATATATCTGGCGAAACAATGAATATCACATACCCATGTAATTCGCTCTTATTCAGGTACCATTTCAATCAATTAACACTTAAAGGAACAGTGGTAATTATACTTACCACCTAGTTCAGCATTCACCAACTTTACATTTAGTCCACGGAGTGTGTTTATGGGTTTCATGCGAATCTCTGAATAAACAGCAATTATCTTTGTAATGGTGACTTTTCGTGTTTTCTTTGAGGTACGGACTGACTTTTAAATGAGATTTTTTGCTTCTGAGGTTAACGGGCTGCATACGTATCATTGCCTGTATGTGTTTTGTACGGTAATAGACTGATTTTCTTTTCCTATGGAAATGCGGTTGAAGATCATCAAGTTGTGATGATTTCAAACGTTTGGCCTGCGAACTTATGAGGTGAGGACAATATTCGACGAGGATGGAAAAAGTCATGAAGACCACTTTGTTGTTGTTGTAACCGGTAATGTCCAAATACCGGGGACTGTAACCTGTAGAATTTTGAGCTCATCTCTAGACATGCTAAGATTTCGGTGTCCAGAAATGTTCCAGAACTTCTCCCAGCACTCAGCAGTGTTTCAGATGATCTCACGTGACCTCTGGGTCACGTAATGAAGACTTGTTGACCTATGGGTCATGCGGGGTTTGAATTCCAGCACAGAAAGCAACTACCCATTTGAATGACGTCATTCAGAGGGTGAATTGAAGAAGGTTCATCTCATCATCCTTAGCCCACGTGATTAATTGTTTTTGTAGGCTATAATAACACTGTGATAGATGGTTTGTGGGCGTACTAACCTTGCAATCAAAATGTGCCGGGTTCGATTACAGTCGTTGTGAAAAGGATAAAAAACTATGATCGTAATGACACCGAGGCACCTGAAGACGGGAGTAGAGCCGACTCCCGAAACGTCGTGTGTATCAGACATGATCACAAACCTTTAGAGAATTATTACTCAGAAACACCTTATAACTTTTATCACCCAAAATAGTATATAGCATGTTATTTTTGTTTAACTAAATTCTAGGCTTGTAAGGGTCCTCGTTATTTGATTAATGTTAACCAATGCAGAAATGGATTATCGATTCGAATGATATAATAAATGTGACTGAGTAGAATGTTCAAAATGAAAGGTTTCTGTTTTAGTATTTTGTCTAACATGGTGCATAGAACACGATTAACCAATGCCCATTGCCATACACGAGAAATTTCTGGTGTAATGTAAGAAAAGACACATCTGATAGTATCAGGATACAGCATATTTAAATGGCAAGGACAAAGGACAGAGTTATTAACATAACATTTCACCTCATAGTACAGTAATAACCTTTGGTGGCCAAATTGGAAGACAAAGGCATGGAACGTGTCGATTTAGAACTGGGTTATATTGTAAATCTTCTCTTTTCTTCTTTGTACTTTGGTTTACAGTATTCAATTTTACATCTATACATCTGTAGTGGGGTAATATAGCACAGTGGTATTCAACCTGGGGTACGTGTACCCCCGGGGGGACGCGAAGACATCTTAGGGGTTACGTGAAATTTAAAAAAAATATTATTTTATGATAAACACTGAATAATCAGTAATGTAATTTATTTAATTTATTTTAGATGTAGATTATATAATACGTATAACTTGAATTATACACCAACAACTCTGGGGGTACAAAGTTGAAGAGAACTTATATCTGGGGGTACGCGAACAAAAAAAGGTTGAACACCACACGCATGTGCTACATTTCTCTTCAGATTAAGATTAGAAGCTCTTAAATATACCATATTAAAATACATGGCATGTCTTAAAAAGGCTTTTTTTATTTTCTTTCAGCCAACAAATCCCCCTGTGGGTTTTCCAGCAGACAACGAGGGCATAGTCAAGTTTGGGTGGATCAAAGGCGTATTGGTACGCAACCTTCTCAACATATGGGGCGTGATGCTGTTTCTCCGCCTGTCCTGGGTTATCGCCCAGGCTGGCATTGGTAAGTTTGCTATCGTGAAGGCAATTTCTGCAGTGGAATAAATTTTACCTGTCACATGTTTTTACGCGTTGATCTTATTGAAACAAATGGAAGTCTGATCATCTTATCGCAATATGCTGAATTTTTTATCTTAGCCACAGCCAGGGCTCCAAAATACACTTCAGAAGTAGTAATGAGTATAAAAATATTTGTTTGAAGCACAGATCAGAACTGTGGTTGAGTGAGTTTTGTTAAGTGTCTGATACACGTATGTGGCATCTCACTCTTTTTTAGTGACATCTTGGACAATCATCTGTGGGCTGGATAGTTATTTTTAAATAAAACACTGGACCCCTTATGTTGGAACTAAGGCTTTTCAGAAGTTAAGATTTTCTGGATTACAGATATAAAATATAGAGGAATTTTATCACAGACAAAAAGATAATATTAAAAATTACTTGCTGACGTATGTTTTATCTACTAAATTACACAAAATAAAAATCCTTCTATTTACGGATGCTTACCTTGTAACTTGCACGCCACGGTGGTCTAGCCTTGTAATCCTGGGGTCTCGGGTTCGATTCCCGGCGGTGCCCGAATTTATAACTTGTGTTGGGCAAGGCCGTGGTCTAGGCAACACGGAGTTTTCCTCCGTGGCATCCCAACAATTACTCCATTCACACACAGAAGAAGGCAATGGCAAACCACTTCTGGATCATCTGCCAAGAACGTATATGAACAGGTCCCAGTCCGAGAAAAGGATGGAAGGATCCTGTTCATATGGACCTGTCGTCAGACAGAACACTAAATAATAATAATAATACCTTGTAACTTACTGTTTGTATATCATCTAATTGAAAGTTATTAGATCTTGCTTGAAGACTGGGGAAAAACATGGATTTTACGTCCTTCCGGATTTTGATGGCGGCATATACGGGGGGGGGGGGGCTACTGTACCTTAATGTTCATGGGTTTGAAATTATGCTTATCAGATAGTAAAATATTTTTAAAAAAATCAGGTTCATTTTGGTTTGTGTTATTCACTCTCACTCACTCACTCACACGCAACTGTTTGTAGTAAACGAACTTTTATGATGCGCGTGTCTTAATTCCAGGCCAAGGGCTGCTACTGATCCTTGCAACGAGTGTTGTAACATCAATCACTGCTTTATCGATGTCAGCCATCAGTACGAACGGAGTCATAAAAGGAGGTAAGAAACATCTCATCTAGTGAGACTGCACATAAAACATGAAGCGAACTGAAAATTTGTAAATTAAATTCCTCATTGAAATCGATCATTATATCTTTACGTTTTGACCAAAATCTGTTAAGTTCTATTTTAACTTTGTTAACTCTCTCGTGTTTTAGATTAATTTCTTTGTTCCTGAAGAGTACGTATGTCTGGTCTTTTAATTTTTGTTCCACGTGTATCAGTTCAGTTTTGTAAGAACTAAAATTTGATGTTACAAGTACGTCATTTTCAAAAAATTGCGTTGGGACATTTCAACTCGTAACTTACAGCGTAGTTTTCCTCGTTGTTGAACTGTTCTGCCACAGAATGTGTTAATTTTGTCTGTTCTTGAAGCATTACGAGGTTTATTATTAATAAGATTTGTGTTCTTATAATTTATTGTTTTTAACAAACATACTCTCTTCGTGTTCACTGAAAATGGAGGCAGTATGTTCTTCCAGAATTTTGATATCTTAATAATTTTACAGGTGGCACATATTACATGATCTCTCGATCACTGGGACCTGAATTTGGTGGGTCTATCGGCCTTATCTTCTCATTGGCCAATGCGGTCGCTTGCGCCATGTACGTTGTCGGATTCTGCGAGTCCATGTCGGATTTGCTGAAATCGCATGATCTCCAGATAGTGGATGGTGGGATTAATGACATGCGAATCATGGGTTCCATCACCGTCATGTTTCTCCTCTGCATCGTTGTTGTCGGAATGGAGTGGGAAGCCAAGGTAATATCATTTTTTTATGACTTTAAGTTGTTTGTTATTTTAACTTAAGGTGAAAATTAATTTTACTGTTGTAATTTTAATTGTGCATTAGAATTGCTTATTTTTTTATCTCCGTGCAGGCTCAGCTGGGACTCCTTGTCATTCTGCTGGTTGCGATAGCTGATTTTATAATTGGAACCCTCATCGGTCCCCAGAATGACGAAGCCAGGGCAAAAGGATTTGTCGGATATGACCGTATGTAAATGAAGACTGAACTCGAATAATTGTTCTAGAGGAAATTCTTCTTAGTCTAACGTTTCTGAATTTCCTCAAGATATGTGGATAACTGACAAGTTTAGATCTTGGGCAGTATTAAACATCAAAAAAGATTTTGAAATCTTGCCATCTGACATTGCATAAATTTATTTGCAGAACTCGCAAAAAAATAATTTGTAGAATCCTGTCATAGAAACCAAACAAAAAAAAAATCCTGTAGGATATTTTGTATAATTTAGTTCGCTTAAAGTTTTGGAAATTTGAAACTGTAGAAACAAAACGAGCAAATTTCACATCTTAAAACAATCCTTAATCTTAATTCTTCATTTAATACATCGTAATGATGGTGGCATTCTTTATTATATAGCTTATAGCGGACAATCGTGCGTTTTATTTCTAGTTGCTGATGAACTCACACGTGTGACATCTTTTTTTCAGTTAGTCTTGTTACGGAAAACTTCTACCCAGACTATCGATTCAGTGAAGGAGTTCAACACAACTTCTTCTCTGTGTATTCCATTTTCTTCCCTGCGGCAACTGGAATTCTAGCTGGAGCAAACATATCTGGGGACCTAAGTGTAAATATTTCATTAGTTTTATCACGATGTTTTCTTGGCGTAATAATTTGAAACTCACTCACAATCATCAATATGACGCAACATCTATCTGAACTGCATAAGTATAATAAATTAAGGGGCAGAAATGGGTTGAACATTTAGAACAATTATTAATGGAAAAATAATATAGATTGTAATGAATATCTTCAAATGGAGAGAATTGGATGAGAGCAGTGGTGTCAAATCAGGCATCGAACCCAACCTAACCTAACCTAATCTAACCTAACCTAGCCTAACCCAACCTAACATAACATAACCTAGCCTAACCCAACCTAACCTAATCTAACCTAGCCTAATCCAACCTAACATAACCTAACCTAGCCTAATCTAACCTAACCCAACCTAACCTAGCCTAGCCTGACCTGACATATATTAACCTAACCCAACCAACACAATAAGTTAATCTCTTTTTATGTTAAATTATTAAATTACCATTTGAATAAAGTGATGCATTGTATGCGTTATCAGGACCCACAAGGAGCCATACCCAAGGGCACCCTGCTTTCTATTCTGCTGACAACTCTGTCCTACCTGTCAATGGCTGCCATGTCAGGTGCCGTCATGGAGCGGGATGCGAGTGGCAATGTCACTGAGCTGTACAACGGAACATTTACCAACTGCACGTATCGTGAATGTAAGTGGGGACTGCACAACAGCTTTCAGGTGAGCCGTGGATTTTCTTTCCCGCGATGTTTTCTTATATGTTCCGAAGTCGCATTTGACAAGCTCGTTGTATGTCGTGTCATAGAATGCGTGTAGCCTTTCGTTGCCTGGCGTTTCTCATGTCTAAAATGAAGGTATAAATATTGATTTTTATTTTGAAATAATCTAAAATTTATCGGAATTATTTTTTAACACGCGATTGAAGCACACATGCAGTACAGTGCACAAGATTGTAATATGACAATTTCAGAAAATAATTGTTTTATGATGAAGAGATTTTGTTGCAAACTCAATACAATAGATCAGTGTGATGACTTATTTTTATTAGGTGTCTAAAAAAAAATTTAAGTTTTAATTCATCGTGGGTAGGAAGAACAACAGCTGGCAAGGAGTAATTTTCCAGCTTGGGGGCTGAATAGGGGGCCTTCATAAAAAGAGGTAGCATTTTCCAAAATATTATACGTGTTTTGCAGGTGATGGAACTGGTGTCAGCGTTCGGACCTCTGATTTATGCTGGTTGCTTCGCAGCAACACTCTCTTCAGCACTTGCCAGTTTGGTGTCCGCACCTAAAGTATTTCAAGCCCTGTGTAAGGATCAGCTGTACCCATACATCACATGGTTTGCCAAGGGTTACGGCAAAAACAACGAGCCAGTCCGCGGATATGTTCTTTGTTTCTTCATCTCCATAGGTTTTATTCTCATTGGTGAGTTTGTTATTTTATTCGTTCAAATTATGCTCGTTTTTTAACGTGTTTGTTTTGGTTAGTTTACGCTAACAACACATCATATATTTAGGGTAGTTTTTGAAAATTTCAACTTGCGCTAATGATATAATGAAATTTAAAAGGTCTGAAGCAATTTAAAGCATTTTTTTCTGTTCAAAATTAATATTTTCAGTTGTCCAGAAGAGCGTACAAATTACTTTTAATCATTGTAATGCGGAACTGACAGCGGTATTTGTTTCAGTCGTTCGTGACGTATTACTTTTTCTTATGTTGCAGGAGAACTGAATGCAATTGCACCATTGATCTCCAACTTCTTCCTTGCAGCGTACGCACTCATCAATTTCAGCACGTTCCACGCGTCTTTAGCAAAGCCTGTTGGCTGGAGACCAAAATTCAGGGTAATATTTGCGTCATAATTTTGGAAAAATATACCACTATTGACGTGCCTTTAAAGTCAGTTAACCTATTAATTTATAAAATTTATTTCAGTCTGTGCCTATGGTTTTTGTCAGATTTTTACAATTTCATTAGACAATAATTATCAGTCAGTAGAACATAATCTAATTTATCAAATTCACAATTGTCTTTGTATTCATACGATGTGAAAATTTTCTCTACGCTAAGATTCCTGCATGTAGGTTGATATTGATAGCAGATATGCAAAAAAAGTATTAAGCCTCAAATTATTATTTTCCAAATTTCCAAATATGGCAGCATTAGACACCTGTATTAAATATAAAGCAGATGTAAGTGTGTGCGCATGTTCTCGAGAGCTGTCTCCGGCAGTTTTCGAGAATAATTGAAAAGATCGGGGGTTTCCAGATATTAGTTGTTCAAGAAATTTTAAATTACGTTCTGATCTTGTTATTTTTTTCTATGTAGCCTCAGATTTTTCACATAAGAAGACTTTTAATTTAAAGGTAACAAATCCTCAGTATGTTTCTCTGAAATGTTGGTATCAACCTCTGAGTTTACGCGGTGCCACAATCCAGAAGAATAATATTGGCATCTTCGCCGCTACGAGAACCCCAAATCTCACGAATAATTATCGCTGGTTTCTTGCAGTTTTACAACATGTGGTTGAGTTTGGCCGGGGCGTTATTATGCGTATTTGTGATGTTCCTCATAAGCTGGTGGACTGCTCTTATTACGCTCGCCTTCGTACTGGCTCTCTACCTGATCGTAGCCTACAGAAAGCCAGGTACAGCCTGTTCATGCACTCTTATGAAAGTTCTGAGACGCCACAAACAAGATATTGATTTCTAGATGTATATGTTATTTATTAAAATTATATTAAATGGTGTGCGTTGTTTTCCAGATGTAAATTGGGGCTCCACAACTCAGGCACAAACATACAAAAATGCCTTGTTGTCTGTACAACAGTTAAACAACGTTGAAGACCACGTGAAGAATTATCGGCCGCAGATTCTCGTTCTTTCAGGCATGCCAAGCTTCCGTCCGCCCCTGATAGATTTTGCCTATCTTTTAACAAAAAATCTCTCGCTTCTTATTTGTGGTCATATATTGAAAGTAAGTGAATATATTTAAGCTGTTGAACATTACGGTGAAAATACAGATTTTTGTTTAACTCCCATTACATTGCTGAATGATGTGTACTGGATACGAAAAAAAAAAAAAGAAATTGTTATTGTTAAATAATGAATTGAATTAAATTGAATTTCTTTTGTTTAGGGTCCTGTATCTCAACGTATCAGAAATATCTTGACTTATAAGGCTCACAACTGGCTCCGCTCACATAAAATAAAGGCATTCTATACTCACGTCGATGAAGTGAACTTTGAAGAAGGAGCCAAAGCATTAATCCAAGCCTCGGGTGTTGGCAAACTACGGCCAAATATCTTGCTGATGGGCTACAAGGGTGATTGGCGAGAATGTGAAAGGGAAGAATTAGCCATGTACTTTGAGGTGATGCAGTAAGTATTTAATAAAGCTGGGTGCATTAAATTGATGAAGGTTTTATGTTTTAACCGTCGTATTTGTAATGTTTCTTGCCGTCTGCCAGATACTGGAACAGCCATGTCGGACTCGTCGTTTAAAAGAAAAGTGACTGATATAGAGGAATGTTTTATGTCTCACAAGCGCACACAGATGTGAATATAATTGAAGCACATTTCTACTTTTTATTGAAATATAAATCAGTGATACCAAAGTAGATATTTTACATACATTTCAAGGTTAAAATTTATTATGACAGGGACGTTTGGGTTCGACATCATGAAAAATCTGAGAAGTCAGTTGCGCTGCATAAGACATCAAAGATGACTACATGCAGCTCTCGGGCCATGAATATGCCTGTCGTAGCAGCAAAATGTTTTCAATGAGTACTTTATGTAATTTATTTTGTAAGTGGAAGACAAAGAATGTGCAGTGAAATTATAACCCAGACAGTTCAGAAATGTTGCATTGATCTCAAAATTCTGTCAAATGATTATTACCTAATACAGTAATAATAATAATCCGTGACGTAACAGCCCTCTGAGAGCCAAAGCCGACTAGCGTGACTGCTGGCCTCACGTTCACATGCCTAAGCAGAGGTGAACGATCATCCAACCAGATATAGGGTGACGTGTGGTCAGCACGACGAACCCTCAGCCATTGCTAGCTTTCCTAACCGGATTACGCTACTCATTGTAGCTCCCCAATTTCCTCACGATGCTGGGTTGGCACCGGTTGAAAGCTCATGAGAAAATTTCTTCTCCCCTGAGACTCGAACCAGACCGCATTCCGTATTGCCGGTCCGTAGCTTGATACCTCAGACCACGCGGCTACGGCGCGGGACTTTGCCTAATACAGAGCTAACATACGTATATTTCTATTAATAAAAGTGAAAAGGATAAATAAATAGTGTGTATTTTAACTCTCAGAAATTAATAAATTAAGCTTACATTTACTTGTTCTGTGCAGTAAAGCCCTGGACATGTACATGGCAGTTGCCATTCTAAGACTGCAAGAGGGCCTCGATTACTCAAAAGTGATAGCGGATGAAGATGATCTTGTAAATGGTATCAGTTCTGTCGCTGGAGTAGGAGATAAAGGCGCCATTCGTACAAGACAGAACTCCCAGGAATCTCTGCCTCGTAATCAATCCTTCTCGCAGATGTCTCAAGGTGAGTTATAAACTTATCATTGAAATTAATGCGTAACTAAGGATTGTGGGTAACAGATAACAAACTGCCAAATCATGTTATTGCTTTCTTTGTGGTTTGATACATATTAATTCCTTGGGTAATGCCACCTTGTTATGGTAGGTTAGTTTATAAATAATTCAGAAATATTTCAGTCTCATCTCTCAGGGTGAAGTGACGGACACTAGGGTTAATCCTCATTTGTTGTACTGTATCATGGAAGTTTGGGGGGGAAACTTTATATTCTTGTTGTTGAATCTGAGGTGTGTGCAGAGAAATTTGAATTATTTGCACTTTAAAGATGGATGTCAAGGTTGTTCCTTGTATTTCATCGCTATTATGTTTTTCGTTTTCTGCGTCGGCATTATCAGACGTTACGCTTTTGTCGTCAGTGACGTAAACATCACGGTCGCTGTTCTGAATCAATTTACCCTCCACATCGACACTCAATTAGCAGCCTGAGAATATTTTAGAGCATAGAAAATCTTTATGAAATTTTCGGCCCTCTATATGTATACTGAATATGTCATTTACGTAGATGTATAACGTGCAGATGTAAGCTACTTGATCAGAAATTTTGCATACTAATAAATTGGACGACAGTGGTGAAAAATTGTGTTTTGATAAGGCACGAGCATTAAAGTCACTACATATAAGTTGTTTAGTCATTATATTGTGTGACCATCTGGAAATATTTTCTAAACCATTGAGAATTTTATTATATATCAAAATTAGTATTATATTGAAAATTAAATTAAATATTAGAAAGTATTTTTATAAAAATTAAAATATGCAGATTTTTTGTGTATGTTAAATCTTTACATACTCTATATAAAACTTTAAATTGTAGTGCTGTCGGCCCAGTTTCTTTTTTTACCCCCCAGATATTTACATTTTAAATAATTCTGATTATTTATTAATTGTATTTCTCCCTCACACAAATGCAGAACTGTATAAACATCTCAGTGTAGGAATTCGCCAAATTACTAGGGGTAAGTTTTTTTGACGCAGAATGTTTTGAAATAGTTTTACTATATTAATTTCAGCCTGATAGTCTATTTACGTAATCTCCTAACACGTATAAGCAATGTCATGGGATTTTAGTCTCATAGCATGCTTTGTGGTGATTTTATGGTAAGGTGGAAACTTCACTACACCATTTTATTTCACCTATAGTTCTGGTATTTGTTAGTGTTGAAGATTTTGTAGTAGGTGCATTTTTTTGAAAGCTTTAATGCACTGCGTTACTGGATTAACCAACGCTTTCGTATTGTTTTGACCGTACACTTTCCCTTCCAGAGATGATTTATTTGATGTTGAAATGTTGTAATAACAACTTAACACTTGCATCTGCTGGTAACTAAACATAGACACCCCTTAAAGTGCTATTTACAGTTTTAGTGTGTGTCGTGTCATGGTAACAAATTTTTAAAAAGTTTACAAGGTATTCATTCGAATAAATGAAACTGCTGTTGAGCGACCAAGTCGACGTGGATCAATACTGAGCTTTTATCCTGCAATATTATCTGAAACAAACATGTTTTAACTAAATATTCTAATTTGCTCAAGTAATTTTTTCATTAAAATTTGCATTAAAAACTTTATTTTCCATATATATTATTTGAACTGCAAGATACGTCAATATCAAGACGACTGTATGAGTCAGTGGATAAATTCTAAAATTGAAACCAACAAATATGATAATAGGACAGATAATTTTTGCAGGTTATACTTATCGTTAAACATATATTTTTACTGTAAGGTTATTAGAAATGTGTCTGTAGCATTTATGTCATATTGAGACATATAGACGAATTTTAAAGCTTTATATGCATTTATTTTCAGCAAGTAGTGCAAGCGATCTGTCTGCCCCCGCAACTCCAAATTTGAACAAAGCCAGAGTAAATGAAAGTCCCAATGTGGATGTTGTTTCTACGGCGATAACGATTGCAGATTCTGGTAACCAAGAAAGTAAGAATCATGCTGCAAGTGGAATGAACAGTCGGAAGGAAAAGAGGAAACTGGAATATAAGGCTGACCTCTACAGGTGAGGTTTTATGTTCATGTCCTATGTCAAATTTAGCTCAGCATTTATCAAGCAAATATTTGCCATGAATTAAAGTTGAAAAAATTTAAATTTTAGGTAACATTTAAACGCGTATATTCCAATTATCGTACGTCTGAGAACCATTCAGATATTGAGTTTATTGAAGGCATGCCAACTTTGCTGTTCAGTAACAGAATATATTTATGTTCTGTCGACACATCATACGTTATTATTTTAAAACACTGACATCTTTTGACTCTATGGTCACCATCAGGCATCCATTTGTTTGAAATAATGTTTTTACTGCACCATAAAAACATGCTTAGATTGGTTAAAACTTATGATTCATCACCCTGATGACAGAGGCAGTATGACCTCTGAAACGTTGGTTAACATCGACCAGACTACGCAGCGCAACAACCCAGAAGACAGAAATCTTCATACTCACCGCTGTGAAAACCTCAAATTTTACAAAATGATAGTTATTGATTAACAATTGAGGGTTTTGTGGAAAAAGTAATGTAAGTCCAAAATTATTATTATTATTTTTTTAATCAAGAGAAACTTTTCCAGCATTTGAGCTACTGATTAATATTTTTTTTAGTATTAGTACATTTAAAGGGTTTGTAACAGGAATATATTTTGTTATGTAAGAAGATTATTTTTTTACAGAAATAATACAACAAGAAATGAGCGTAAGTTTTTTTTTATTTTCAAAAATACAGGAAAACACCACTCATTTTCTTTTAGACTAATGTGATTTTTGCCAGAGTGACACTAAGTGAAAATGGCTGATTTTGATATGTCATTCTTCTGTATTATGTATAAAACTTCTCGTTGTACCACAGGGGGCCTGGAGGAAGCACTCTCCCTAAGGACGTACTCAACAATCTGATACAATTCCAGAAGAAACAAAAGAAGGGAACTATCGATGTCTGGTGGCTTTACGATGATGGAGGTAGGATCTGCTCGAATAATGAACGTCACTGGCTTATGATATACATTTGTACAGATTTACAAAATCAGATGGGGTATTTCTTTAAAATGGAATGTTTCAGGACTGACACTTCTTCTGCCGTACATCATCGGCACGAGGCGGAACTGGTCTGCTTGCAAACTTCGTGTCTTCGCACTTTCTAATAAGAAAGATGAACTAGAATTTGAACAACGCAGGTACGTATCGAACTGCCTTTACTTTATGTGGGTGTCAAGTTAGGTTTGTTAAATTTTTAATTCAAGTTTAATAATAATTAAGTAATGGAACCCAAAGGTTCGTTACTAGTTCTTCTTGGTTATGATGGTGGTGACGTAGGTCACACATGCATATATGGACCCTAGAATAAACATTAAAATTAAAATTAAATCCGTGACATAAGAGCCCTCTGAGAGCCAAAGCCGACCAGCTTGACTGCTGGCCTCACGTCCACATGCCTAAGCAGAGGTGAACGATCATCGAACCAGATATATGGTGACGTGTGGTCAGCACGACGAACCCCCAGCCATTGCTAGTTTTCATGACCGGATTACGCTACTCATTGTAGCTCCCCAATTTCCTCACGATGCTGGGTTGGCACCGGTCCCATACACCGGTCGAAAGCTCATGAGAAAATTTCTTCTCCCGCGAGACTAGAACCAGCGTGCATTCCGTATCGCTGGTCTGAAGTATGATGCCTCAGACTACGGCGCAGGACATTTAGTGATAGTATGTGCGTTGATTTAGAAGCATGTCAGTGCGTAACATCCGTGAAATTTAGTTTTATATTTTACAATTTTTATTAGAACTTTATTGACATTTTCTTTTTCTATATGAACTGTAAGTGTCACTTTCCAGGCTTTGGCCTTGCCAAATCTAAAAGAATTTATAATTTGCAGCATGGCTAGTTTACTGGCCAAATTCCGCATCGATTACTCGGACCTGATGGTGATACCAGATATAACGAAAAAGCCACTTGAAACTACGGTATCATTCTTTGAGAGCCTAATTTCTGAGTTCAAGCAAATGGAAGGGAGTACTGACGGTGGAACATCCGATGATCCAAGTAAGAAATGTTCGTTATAGTTTCAAACTGTGGATATGTAGGTTTCATCCTGTTTTAAACAAAAATTTTAATATCATTACTGTTTTTGTGCAGTGGCCATTACAGAAGCTGAATTGCTGGCCATGAACGATAAGACAAATCGGCACTTGCGGTTGAGAGAGCTTGTCATGGAAAATTCCCTTGAAGCAAATCTGATCGTCATGTAAGTACATAGATTTTTATAGAATGAAATATATTATATTCTTTGTTACTGTTCTTTATGTAACAAGCATTTAGATGAATTATTTTTTCTCACACTGTTTTTCATATTACAAGCAATGAATGACTTGGTTCCTATTCAATAATAATTATCCGTGGCGTAACAGCCTTCTGAGAGACTAGCTGGCCGCCGGCCTCACATTCACATGCCTAAGCAGAGGTGAACGATCATCGAACCAGATATAGGGTGACGTGTGGTCAGCACGACGAAGCCCCAGCCATTGCTAGCTTTCAGCTACTCATTGTAAATCCCCAAATTCCGCACGATGCCGGGTTGGTTCCTATTCAATGCAAACTCTGATTTATGAAACACTTGTCAATGTTTTTCTTCTGGATAGTAATGTAATGCCATGTGGACTTGTAGGTAGAAACCAACATTTTTAAGGAAAATGCTAGCTCCAGAGCTTTGGTATCTGCATACAAGTTAACGTGATGTTATTGCCCAGAAGACTGACAACGACGTGTCCAGCGCTGTGACAGTCTCAGATCTCACTTTGAATACTTTCCAACGTGATGACGTCTGTTACATCTCTTGTCAAGCCGTCACTTTCGTTCACGTTTCCCATAAGTCAAGTTTTAGTTCATCGTAAACTTTAATATAAAAATTTATGGATTGTGTTGCAGGACACTGCCCATGCCGAGGAAGAATGTGGTTTCGGCAACCTTGTACATGGCGTGGTTAGAAACGCTGACGAAAGACATGCCACCATTCCTTCTGGTTCGTGGTAACCAGACCTCTGTTCTTACATTCTATTCATGAACATTCAGCGTACATACAGTGCTTTAAAATTAGCCTTGCAATGGGCATATTTATTGAACAGGAATTCTTCAATATGCTTCAAAAACTTCAGCTTTGTCCAAAATTAAGAATGAAAATATTCAATTTTGGAGACTTATTTCACAAGAAGACGTGCTTTATAATGTAGCTTTGGTGGATAGTGACGGTTGAAATGGTTTGGTCGCACAACTTCTTCGAATTGCGGATATTAATACGTAAAACTGCTGAATGCCGCGTAGCAGAGCTAGCGACTGTCTCGTTTAGTCTTCCCTGTCTGTAAGGGAAAGCACATTCATTCTAATTTTATTCCCACCATATTTGTTTAATAATTTATATTCATTCCTTCCTGTGTTGTTATTTTAAACTCTTAGTGAAGTTATAATGTGTCGAGTTAATTGTTCCGCTCTTCAATTACGTGAAGAAACAATCCGGTGAATTTTCACCAATAGTGTATAGTGATATATTAAATTGGTAGGAATTATAATTTATTGTCGCTGCTCAGATAATGGAGTACTTTGTTCACAGCTATGGCTTAGAAATTCTAGTGAAGCTTTTTAATATATTATAATCGACTGAAGGTTATGGGACCTTGAAGATGACCTGACGACTGTACACAAGACAATACTTTGAGCTTACTTTGGTGTTTTCTAAAATATGTACGTTGCCCAAGTGAGTGGTATATTGCGGATATTATAACCTTTCTTTTTAATGCATCTTGCCGACCAGATATTATTCTTGTTACCTGCTATCGGAAAAGGGAAGAAACTTCCTCGAATTTTTATTCTCCCCGTTTTTCCGCGTCTTCCCCGTACACATTCGGAAATTTCTTGTTCTCATATTGCAGTTCAACTTTTGGCTTTTTGGGGGGACGAGCCACGTCAAATGTTGAAAATTATGCGGTGTTTCGGCAAACGTTGCGGTTGCCGTGTGTTCGCCCTGAAGGCTGCAACTGCAGTGTTTGATGAAACTTTGGATAATTTTCAACCCTTGACACGGTTCATACCTGAAGCTTAAGTTGTGCATTCATAATTTGTTTAAAGATGGGGGTTGAAGAGGTAGGTCTGTGTTTCGGAATTATGTATGTAATGGACTGAGAAAGAACATAAATATACAAATATATATATACAAAAATACTGCTGACTGTTCCATAATTATAATGACTACAATCTGTGACAAAGGAATGTGAAGGAATATTATGAATTTTTCAGGGCAGATATTGTATTACTTTATTTATGACTCTACAATTCTTGAAGAACTGTGGTCACATCTATATCTTCTTAAAAACATGCTGATTTCTTACAAAATTAATCATTTTATTAATATTTTATTTCTACGGATTTGATTATCACTAGTACGTGGTGCTGTGAAACACATTACAAAATATGCAGTTTAATTTCAAACAGGAATTTAAAAAGAAAAAATATATTTACAAACTGAACTGAAAAAAAATACAAGTAAATTTTTACACCGGAAACATCAGCTTAATTTCCTGCTTCTCGCCTCGTCAACATTGCACGGGGGTAATTAATTGTCTTGACATGTAACTTGGGGAGAGTTGTAGGAAAACTATGATAGACAAAGATACATATTCTTTTACTGTGGGACACAGAATTGATGGAAATCTGTGCATAAATATGGTATGTACATTGTTTTAAATTTGCATAGTGCAAAAGTGTTAATGTACCAGTATTATGTTATTATAGTACAGTATTATGCTGTAAACAAACTTTTTTTGACTCATGTTTGCTGTGTCTGAATTTGTAATGTTAACCTTTTCTCTGCCACATTTTGCAAGCACTGCTAAATTTTCCATACCTCAACATTTAAGGTTTTAGGTTAATTCCTTAAGTGAGGTTATGTCAATTGTACAAGGAATAACTATCCATCTTACGATTTTTTTAATGTGGCAGTAAAATTGAAATGTTCACATCTCTAAGATTAATATATTTATGGCTGGAGGAACAAAGATGGTGATCTTATGGGTTGTGACACCACTTGTTTGTAGGTACCATTGTTTTGAAGGAACCTCCATTTTCAGTCTTAAACTGAAGACACTAAAAATTAAATAATTCAAGGTTGGCACTGCAGAAACCCAACTTGGAAACTAGTACAGAGGTGGCAGTGAAAGGTTTAGGTTATTGAATAAGTTTCTGACACTTTTATTTGTTGTGCGGAAGTGAAGAATTACTATTGCAAAAGAATAACTACAATGGTAAGATATGTTTATAAAATAGTTTATTGAATTCCTGGATTTAAAGCAATTGTTACATTGTTGTGTAGTAAACTGTAATATGCAATGATGTTCCAACCCTCCCATTATTTTTATTAACATTTTGAAATAAAAATTCTTTGCCTTCATCCGAACATCGTCCAATATTTGTGATATCCAGTTTTTAAACCCATCCCCACTAAAGTCACAGTTACCCATTGCCCTACTTGAATTTTGAATTGTAAGTGGTGTCCGTATATATGTTCATTATTTTAATCTTGGTATATGGAAGTATAAAGGCGTTAACTAACTGTTCAGTTAATCATTACATATGAATTTTAATGTCTCTGTACAAATATTGACCAAGGGACCTACATGATAATTTGTACATTTTGTACAAAATTTCAGTGCAGAATTTTATTTTGAATGTGCAAATTCGTTGTGCATGGAAAGCCTCTGTCGATAATATTCAATTGCTTTACTCTGTAAAATAGGATTCACATATCAGTATTTATCGTAACTAGGTGGTCATGGCCTAATCTCAGATACTATACGGATATTTGCCTGGGGAGACCGACGGTTTCCGTTCCGGGATTTGAATCCGGTACCTCCCAAGTATGAAGCCGGGTTACTAAGCACTGGATCACGTTTTGTTTTCACACTGTTAATAATAAGTTCCTAATGGTCTGTTGTAATTAGTGGGTGTTCTATGAAATATTCACAATTCCTTCTCGTAAAACCAAATAGCTTTCTCCTTGCATGCAGTACTGAGTGAGTCTTCGTTCCCACTACGACAATCAGAATGGCATAATTGGATGCATCTTCTGTTACCATATCACAGCGAAGCCACTTTCACTTACGTTGAAGTAAGAATTCATACCACTTCTTCTCGTTAAAATTTTTACTATTCCCATGCCAATAAAACAAAAATAACCTCACTTCTGGACAAGGAAAGTGGTTTCGATGACTCATCTTCGACCTATTTGTGTCAGCTGTCGGTAAACAGCAATAGGTTAGGTCTATTTACTTTGTATATGTACGTGCATTGAATTGTATTTACTTGACTATAACTCCATCTCGTGTAGACATGTGTAGAATATTTGTTAGTATAAGTTACTATCATTTCGCGTTTAAAATGTTTATTCTTTGTCGTGTTTGTTAGACCCCCATTGTGTAATCAATGCTTAGTGGCATCGTTGTTGAAAACGTCGTGATACGTGGTTAGAAATTACGTTATATGTTGATATATATATATTGTCATTTGCGAAATAGGCTTCTTGGCAATGTAATGTGAGGGACCAAGTTTCACACCCATGCAACAAGCTACCTTCCTAAAGAAAAGTAAGCGACGCAATTAGGTTAACCTTCTGTTTTGTGTTGTAATCCACGTTTTTCGCCTGCAATCCATTCGCTGCCATCACAACACGAGTTGCAATGCATAAAGATGACTTGTGTCCAGTTCTGAAGAGCAGCTAGGCTACTGGCCATAAACCAGTTCAAGGCAAAAACGATTTAAGAACGTGGTAGTTCTGAATCAGAGCCTCACTTAAAAAATGTAAATGCAGTTTTGTCTTGCATTGATATGTTATTACGCGTTATTGATCTGTTGTTGTGTTACTTACTTTAAATCGGCCACACATGCGTCCCTTCGATACCCTACAAGGCGATAACTCTGACTTGTATTCAGGAGGAGAATTATATGATTAAATTCTTTCAAAAATAGTACGTGTTTGTATTACTTTCAGTTAGGTTTGTACCAAATTTCGTCATTGAGGATGTAATTCGGGTGTTTTTTCGAGAATTTAGCTACGTCTTATAGATAGATTTTATACATCAGCATAAATGCTTATCCCGCCCTCAAGAATAAATTATTTTCTGAACGTATTTCGTCAGATATGAATCACTTTGTCATCTTAGACATTTTAATGGCCCCCCGTTACTGGTTTACGACTCATATTAGCGTTGTTTCGTTTCCACACTGTAGGTCGATTGAGACTGTGAAACGATTGCATTTTTGCGCCGAGATAAATTACAAATTTCAGGTCAAAATATGTGTAAACAACTCGTTGGAACCAAGTGATAACATTTTTCTCATAACATAGGAGAAGCCATTTTACTTTCTTATGTGAAACGTGACGAGTGTATTATAATTTTATGCCGATAATATCGATATTTAAGCTTTGAGGGTGCTGTTGGACGATGGACTTTTTTTCTCCTGACCATAACACCTTACAGGCCTAATGACCTCTTCAACCATGAAAATGTTATATGACGTAAGAGGCATCCCGAGTGTTGCAATATTGTCAAATCTGTTTCCATAAGCGGATCGAGCAAACGTTGCACAAGAGTCATTTTAGTGGACGCATCAGTTGGTGGTGAAAGTGAGAAAAGATTATATCGCTGCTTAATCTCCTTGGCTAGCCGGTTGACGTCTGGCATGTACGAGGATTCTCTCAGAGACCCTGGACATTAGCCTACTTACTGCATGGTGTCCGCCTCATCCTGATGCAACACTCAGATCTTTTTTGTTTCCTTGACTGTGCCACGGGGCACGTCTGATGCGTTTTCTATCAGCAGGTAGTTTAGATGGCCATTACGAGACACTTTCCTCTCCACCGCTGTTATAATGAAACAATAACGTGTTTGGTTTCCAGATTGTCTCATCTTAACTCCGCCTGTAATGTCTTCCGGGAGGCGTTCAAACACAATGGTCGTCCTTAATGAAATGAAAATTCTAAATTAAAGAATTCTGCCGTGTACATTATACTTGTGCAAAATGCCAGATGTAAATTGCTCTAAGCAGGACTGTATATCTGCGAGTTCTGTGTAATTTACGGCTATCGAGGGCAGCTACATGAGGTCTACTTTCAATAGGTCAGAGGTTAAAAAATGAAAGGGAAATTTCCTTTCTAATTGTGATATTTGTTGTATCACTAAACAAATTCAGTTTTCTCCTGATGTTTTAATACAGGTGTATTGGATGTCGGGTCTGTGTTGGTAGTGTTGAAGGAATGAATAAGGTACTCAGTGGAATGCTATCATTTTTTTTACGGTGGCGAAATGTATTTTTTATTTATTTTTCTAGGTTTTTTTTCTATAAAAAGCTTTATACAAATATAAAAAATTACGCTTCCAACCATACATACAAAAATATTGTACTGTTGGGTATCTCCAATATGTAATGTATGATTAAACATAAAAAGTGAACCATACAAAGAAATCCTCGTATTATCTGTTCTTGTAAGAGACCCGTTTGATTCCACTAAATATACGTTCACTGCTGAAATTTGCGCTTCATGTTCGTGTAATGATTTGCGCTCTGGCACCTCGATGTGTTCAGGTGCTGGACGATCCAGAGGTTGTCCGTCCGCAACTAGTTGGTGTGTGTGCTGGGTTTGAGTCTTGGTTTTGCCAACAGCCTTCTCGCGATCCCTCGTCCCTGGCGCTGTTTCTGCTGGCTGCTTGTGTGTCGGAGAGGGACCGAAATGTGTGTTTATCATTAGTTCATTTAGAAGGGTGCACCATAGGAGCCTGACGGGCGAGATGGGGCTGAGTATGAACCAGAAGGTGCTGCGTAACTGGTAGCTGGACCCGAGGGGTAACCGCCTCCACCACTTCCGACGCTGGTCTGTTGGTACTGTGCAACCTGAATTGCCTGGCGTACTCCTTCGAGATCGACTCCTACGACACGTGTCTGGTATGATGGTACTCCGTACTGGGGTGATGGAGCTCCGTACTGGGAAGATGGGTAGCCGCCTCCACCGCCCCCGCCGCCGCCTCCACCATGAGCAGAGGCGCTAGCTTCTTCTTGCAGGAGAAGCTGACGGATTTTCTCCAGGAGTTGGGGCTCGACGTACTGTCCTTCATTGCTGGATGGACCAGGGCTTACGGAGATAAGGTTACCACCTCCGCTGAAACTGCTGCCTCCGCCGCTGATGAACCCAGCGCCGCCTCCATTACCCCCAGAAAAGTAACTGGACGATGGTCTGTTGTAGTTGTATCCACTTGGAGGTTCAGCTGAGACGATCCCGACCAGGGTTAGCCCCAGGCACTGTAACAAGACATACCATATTTGGAGTACAGCGTTGAAACGTTGTTGAAATGGTGGGGAGAAGGGTATTATGAGACAATTATATGATTTGGTGGTCAAGGGAGTTGCGTATATGCCAGAGCGATTTGACGAAAAATGTAGTGTTGTTAATCGAGATTTCATAATACCTCACAAATTAAATTATAAGTTCTCTACTGCATAGAGAACTTGTGATAATATCCAAAAATTCGACACTGAATTTAACTCGGACACTGCGATGCTGAATACTTAATTCAGAGGAAATATAAGATAACTTTTTTTTTGGTCTTGATTCAGTGCCACTTTTGTCGTTGCCAGCGACAGTATAATAAGATGACTTTTCTTTGGTCTTCGTTCAGTGCCACTTTTGTCGTTGCCAGCGAAGTGATGATGAATCACAAATTGGATCCAAGAACAAATTATCGATTTATCTGGTTCGATGACACAGTCTACTACGTCTGTTGCTGATTTCACTTCTCTTCGCTGAGTTTGCCTTCAGCATCAGTTTAAATTCCGTTGTTGTTCAGGAAGTCGCCTTATTTATCGTTAGCTTTCATGAAATAACGAAATGTACAGATAAAATCAGACTTTTTCACAATATCTACAAAAAGCACCGAAGTCCATCTTGTATTAATCACTTGAAACTAACGTCGTTTGTAATTCCTGATACGAGCAGCCGAGTTCCTTACCAGTGCCAAGGTGTTCATGGTGAGTGGGGTTTAGCTCCCAAGCGGATGCTAATGCAAGAGCTTTACACGCTAACTGATGCCTTTCCAACACTCAACAAAAATATTAAAATTCACCATGCAGTGACGTCAGGATCGGATAGCCTGGTCGAGGGAAATGTATGTAACTGCGTCTCGGGTGAAGACTTGCTCCCTGCGAGCGAAGAAGTGAGAGGGCATTGTCGCTGAAGTTCTTCGTCTTCGTGAGACAGAAAGAGATGGAGTATAAAAGAAAAAGTGGAACTCAAGACTGTATCAGAAAGTAGTCTGCCATCGTCATCAGAGCCTTCTTGTTCGTCCTCGTCTTTCGTGGGAGAGGAAGATGTAGTCGGTGATCAAGGTTTTATACGCGGGACGGTACAGTTCACTACGCACGGCAAACCTTTGTATTTACCGCGGGTATAACTATGTCGCCCTAGACGCTTATGTTCGATAAATGCTAGTTTAATTATAACGCGGGTGTTGATGTCGTACCCCGACACCCGCAGTTTAACGAGGATCTACTAATAGACCAGAGCCCTCTACCCCCTATTGCTTTTGGTATCCTCTGTCGCTCATTGAATGCATACCTGCAATTCTGTTCGATTTTTTAGAACTTTTAATTTTAAAAATTAATCCACTTACCGTCGTGTCTTGTTTTTGTATATTCGGTCCAGACTACTCATGTTCGTGTTAATCCGTAAATGTGGACGGTAGCTCCAGCGGTTCGCCTCAGCGTCGGTACAGCAGCTCTCTGTACATACCGGCAACAGCCATATCGAGTGGTCTAGACGTATTTCTACAGCTCACATGGGCAGGCAGGTAATTGACTACACCAACCCCCTTGCCCCCCAAACGTTCGTTTTATACGCACCCTTAAAGAACGCGTAGAATTTTTTGTTAGAATCAATTCCCTTAAAAATCGTAATGATACTATTTGAAATTTCTCGTGGCACTGCGTCAGAAATTACGTCCAGGTGATTTTTCTCTGCACTGTTTACTTGCAAAATCGAGTTTGTTTGTAGCTGCGCCTTCAAAACTTTCGACCTTTGTATAATGCTTGACCTCATTCCTTGGTACTCAGGTGTCACTCGAAAACCTAACACTGTAAATGAATAACTCATAAATATATGAAGAAGGATCATAAGTGTATATTTTGTATTCATCCGCGTTCTTTTTATACGTTTATCATTTTACAGTGTAAACGTGTGTAAGTAAAATGAAGTTAATTAGGTGTTATTGCGTGAAATCGAAAATCTACACTAAATTTTCTCTACCAATTTTGATAAGGTATAATGTGGATTATTTTAAGAGCCATTTTACTTAAGGACATAGAGGAATATTTATCTGCATATTCTAAGTCGTTTGCCAAATGTGATATGCGGTATCCGTATTACCAGTATTAATTAATATTGTTAATTTTAATTAAAATTTTATGTAAATTATGCTATAGAATTTGAATACCTTTGAAAAAAATTAGTAACTATTTAAATACACGCTGTATTGAATGGGTCCAGTGTTATTCCCAACACCACCGCGCCTGTGTTTGAGCTTGTGACATTTCTTACTACGAATTGTTTTGAAGAAATAAGGTGGGGCAGACGGACGGACGAATTGTTAGATATTATAGTCGTGTGTGTGTGTGTGTGTGCTGTTGGAATCAGTGCACTTCCGTGAACAACTAATAACAATGTGGACAGCTGTCTTCTGGGTTGTGGACTACAAGGCGACGTGAGAATCAGAAATCAGACTACAATAACAATGTTACCAGAAATGCAGTATCGAGGGAATGAGCATACAAAGACCTGATTTTTCTAAGGAAACTGCAGACATGTTACATGTTTAATTGCCTTCGTTAATGAAATTAGTTACGTCTAGAAATAAAATGGAAATCAGAACAATGGTTTATGTATATTGTTCCGAAACCTGCAGGTTGGTATATGCAATGCCTCGTTTTAATACAATGAAAACAAATGAAATCATTATGACGCATTCCCAAGATACGTACCACCGTTGAACAATGGGACAGAAAAACATGTTCAGACTTCACATGAAAGTACGTGAGCAAGGAACCATTGTCGTCATCATAATTGTTGTCTTTAATCTCGTAGATAAGCGTGTTTAATATGCTTATTTTTGAATAAAGTCAAAGAGGTTGACGTAGATGGGTCTTGTGGCATGCATGGGAGGTACAATAATACGTGAGAAATGTCTGCCAGAAAACGGAAAGGCAGGGAAACGAGCCGAGCGTCGCGACGCCGATTCCGAAACGCTAATAAAGTCAACAGAAGCCTCGCGACGTCGTTTGCATTGATCGTGACAAAACCGACGCCGAACATCGGTACCCCAATTGTTGTAATACCGACCAAAGAAGCCATTTTCAGCGAAGATGGGCGTCTGAATACCATGGGGCACGACATTGGACAACCGACGCCGAGCGTCGCTACGCTGAGAGTTGATGCATTGACTACGAACTGCAAATGGAGACAGTAGAAGCTTATGGACACCTTAACACCTATTCTGACAAACCGGCGCCAAGTGTTGGGACGCCATTCGTCACGACGCCTCCAAGATACTCCGCATTTAAACAGGAATATTCCGAATACTATTCGAAAAGACGTCCACCGTCGAGCGTTGCTACTTTCGTCGTTGAAATACCATTAAAAGACTCGTTTTACAGCGTAGTTGAGCCTCGGGACGTCTTTCAAAACGAAGTTGGAAAACGGACGCCATCACAAGACACCTCATTCTACTTTTATGTTACCGATCTTTTCGAACACACTATATTCTGTAAATTATCCAAAAACAAGGAAATTTACTATTAAATTTCAGCCCATCTTTGAGTACATTTACATATTACTTTCAACGACAACTCTTGATACGAGGTCACGAGAAATGACCTTACATTCCCCTTGCATTTATTTTCCAAGTTCACTTTATTTACCACGAGTAAATAAATATTTTTCAGAACTAAACTTGTTACGATGTTACGTAACATCTAAAGTAACTACATAGCAGTGTTCCTTAACCCATAAATACACAGTGGTAACTATATGTACCACTAACTGTGCATTTTCCCCACAGATGGAAAAATTCATTCCGTGCTCCAAAGAAATCATAACGCGTGTCTGTCTGTTACAAAGATAATTTGGTTAATGATTTTTATGTCAAAAATAATAATCATCGCTGTTTATTCTGAGCATAATACGAGACGCTTAAATACACTCTGTGAGAAAAGGAAATGGTATATATAGTTACCACTAAACTTTACAGGATTAAGTAGGAGACGACTAAAAGACAAAGATAGAAATAAGTATGGCCCTTGAGAGCCTACCGTGAAATAATTACATTCTCTTTGTAACACTTCTGTTATAACACGACAATTCATTGCTTCTTACTGTACCAGTGTGTCTGTGGTCGGTTTGCGTTCATGTAGTGAAATTTAATGACCGTAGTGTTGGCACTTCCATCATGAGTTCCCCAGTTAACTGCTATGGGTTTGAAAGTGACGGTGTTCTGCAACTGTGCTGGAGTTATTTTAACTAACTGCATAGCATCTTTCTTGAGAATCTGATGGTAGTTCAGTTAGTCATGAAATTTCCGCTTTTTAAGTTTCACAAACATAGTAATTGGTTTATATCGTGGATAAAATAAATCTAGTTCATATATTCATATCGTAATTTCCCCAAGAGCCTTTTTAATATTATCTCCCCATCTTCGTCCCCTTAGGTTTTCCGCCCGGAAAAGTACATGCACCAGTTGTCTTATCCTAATTGATTTTACAACGTAATAATGACTTGACATTAATACGAAAAATGTACTTTATTTTCGATTCTCCTGGTACTTTCTTCGTCTTATATTAAAATATTTTTTCTCAGAATCTGTTCTCATTTACCTTTGGTCTCTATTTACCCCCGAAGGTCGGAAACCAAGTTTCACACCCATGACGTGTCAGCTGTAAGATTTATATCGAAGGCATAATGCCCTCTATACTTGTGTACAATGGTAAATGTTAAGATATTCGTGATTAAGGAAAAACATGGAAGGAGAGGGTAGTGGCCTATTTAAATGTACTTAATATTTTTGTCGGCTTCAGGTTTCTTAGGTTACGGAGTGAAGTTTCCGCTCGTTTCATGTTTGCTGCTGTACAATGCCGCCGAGATAAATTTATGCTATTAAGCTGTGTTACTTCATATCCGGAATCGTTAGTCTTACAGTACAGATTTCGAAGCTTCTGAGCTGTTGCAATTCTCTGATATTTGTAACTGTCTCTTCAAGCGGAAGAATACTCTTTTTTACTGTTTATTTTCCCATGTTTAAGTAAATTATTTGTGTTATTGCACAAAAGAATTGCGTATCTTGTATTCAACGTATAATTATCATTGTCATTTCTTATGCTTTACCAGGTATTTTGTAATGTCGTATTCTATCTGTACGTCGTTGAATTCTTGCTCTGAAGTGTTTGAAAATTATGGACTGGTGGGTTTTCGGGATTATTTCGTATTTATGCAGATTCATCATATGACTAAAAAATGACTCGATACGTACACTCACGAATTAACATATACTGGAACTTAGTATGACATTAGAACTATTCGTAATGTAGTAAATAATATGTAGAGCATTAACTTTTAAAGAAGTAAAATAATGCGAAACCGCGTGAAATTTTCTCACAGTTGACGAAACATTACTCAAGAATAAATTAGAGAATGCTTACAATGGTAAGTGGAGTTCTGATTCTTCAGAGCCGTACAAACGAGTTGTATGTTTCTGCTAGTATATTTACTTAGTTAATAGCATAAATATTGTACACTAATACATAAATTCCCTTAATGCCATTGGCATACAAACTGACAGGCCGGATGTATGGAAGATAATTATTATTATTATTATTAAGTGTTCTGTCTTACGACAGGTCCATTGCTCTGCCCAAAAAGAGCTCTCCAGTTGTCCCTATTCTCGGCTTCTCGCTTTAATTCCTGGAACGTCATCTTCTTTCCTTGTTTAAGGTCCATGGAAGATAATAGGAAAGGGTTATTAAAAGAATGGAATTTGGGATTTTTCAGTCTTTATTGAGTTAC